TTGAAAGTGTAAGAATCAATAATTGTTTTAAAATAAAATAGTGCAGTAATTAAATTTGAAATTTCTAAAAATGATAACTCTAAAACTTTGTTGAGAATTAGAATTAAAAAGAGATGAATTAAAAATGAAAATTAAGCAAGTACTAGAATAAAAGTTCTAAATAATTAAATAACAAAAATTAAAATGAGTACTGAATAAATAAAGTAAATAGAATAATATAAACGAGAAAAATTCAATAGAAATTGCAAATTAAATAAAAGAGAATAAACCAGAAGTACAGTAATAGTAGATGATTTACCTAACTAAAAACTAAACTAAGAACTGAGAATAAGAAAAGAAAATGAGGACAAGACAAAAGAATAGCTTTCACCCCAGGGTTAGGAGATCATGATTGTGTGTTGTTGTAAGACCTCTATTTATAGGGAATTGAACAAAAGAAATTAAAACTAAAATTAATTACAATAGAATCAAATATTTCACAAATAAATAATTGCAAAATTAGATTGTTGCAAAAAAAAAATTTGGGACTTATTTGGAGAAAATAATTTGCCTCTTTCCTATTTTGAGTGATCCTACACTGATTTGCATTTAATTCTTGATTCTGGTTGGTCTTTAATTCAACTAAATTGGATTCCCGCACTAATTAATTTGCTTGATTCAAAATTTTTATTTGTAACGTTATGCAAGTGGACTGTACAAGTGAAATTTGACAACATTAATTTAGATATTTTTTCCATCAATTTGGTTCATCTCAAATTACCTCTCCTACAAAAGAATAACAAAAATATGCAATGTAGATGTATGCATGTATATTATTTATTAAGCTAAAACTATGTAAAAGGCAATAAATTAAGAAATTTTGAATTATGCTATGCTTTTAATGAAAACTTGTTAAATGCATGAGTTATGAATAAAATAATTAGTTTAAAGAATGCTTTTAGATCAAGAAATAAAGAGTAAAATGACATACATCACTAACCCTCAATCCATACTATCTAAACTTTAAACCCTAATCCAAAAATCCCTAGTTTCAAATTCCCAATTCCCAGTCCCCAATCTCTATTTCCTAAATCATAAACCCTAATCTCTACTCCATAAAATCTAAACCATAAACCCCAAACCATAACCCCCCAACACTAACCCATAAACCCTAACCATTAAACATTAACCTCTAATCTCTAACCCATAAAACCCTAACTCATAAACCTTAATCATTAAACCATAACTCCAAATCCCAAACTCCAAACCTCAAGCTCCCAACCACAAGCCCCAAACGCTAAACCTGAAGCTCCAAATCTCAAGCCCCAAACCCCAACCCCAAGTCCTAAGTCCTAAGACCCACCATCCACCAAGACAAGCATGTGAAACCCAATCTACGTGCACTCGAATCGGAGAGAGAATTAGAAGTTGTTTCATTAATGACTTGTAGTTTTCCTGATGTGTTTTGATGGATTCAGAATCCATAATTTTTCAAGGTGAATGTTAGAATAGAAATTTTTAATTTTTATTTAAAATTATTTTTTTATCCATAATTTTATTTATATTTTTGTAGTTCGGGATACTCTCGTTATTATATAGAACATTGACGTCTACCATGTGACTGAGAGTAGAGTCTCGCTCCACTCTTATCACTCAGTCCTTGTTTAGAGGCTATATTCCAATATGCTCATGAATTTTACATCGTTTAGGAGTCGAGACCAATGGTAGTTCATATACATCATTCTCTCTCAACCTACCAAGATACCTTTTAAGGACAAAATCATGATGAACTAGAATTTCAAAACGGACAATACCTCAGACATGGGAATTGACCCTAACGATGTTATCATAGCGGACATGAGGTCGAAACATTCTCGCTCCTACATAAAACATTCCAAGAGCATAGTCTCGCTCCACTCATACCTTTTAGTCCTTGATCGTGGGCTTATATTCTGGTACATTCACGAGTCCTGCATTACTTGGGATTCGAGATCAAGGGTAGTTTATATATATCCTCATTTCTGAATCTATTGAGATGTCTTTTAAGAACAAAACTGTGATGGACCAAAGCTCTAGAGCGAAAAATACCTTGGACATGAGAATTGACCATAATAATGCTATCATAACGGACATGAGTCTAGGATACTATAGTTCCTCGTAAAAACATTTGGTGTCCACCATAAGACCTCGGTAAAATAATCGTCATGAGCTCTTCCATCCCATGGTTCTAACCTGAAGCCAGTCGATGTCAAATTCAAACGACAATATCGATCCTACAGTTGTCATCAACAACCTCAAGAAATATGGATAAATGTCAACAAAAAAATCATGAGGAGATAAAAAGTATGCATGAGCATAACCACATTAAGCTCATGCAAATTTAGCAAAAAATAATAGAAGATTTGAAATTAATTCAAAAGCAACATTAGATCAAGCTTCAAACTTTATGAAATGAGTTAAAGGTCCTCATTAAACCACCCCGATCAACTAGGTCGAATCTACAGTTAGAAGAGACCATCACATCGAGTCAAGCGCGAGCCTAAAGATCATTGGCACCAACCATCAAAACACGCACAATAATCTTAATTTCATAAAAAGCAAAAAGTCAACCCTAACATAGTTTGGGAAATCCTTCCGAACACAATGCCAACCACTAAGTCAAGTAATAAGGAACTAATTAAGGAACAATGCTAAGCTTGAACACACTAATGAAGCAACTATTAAACTCTCACCTCAGAGCTATCGTTGAGAACTTGTAGTTAAAGCTCTACCTCAACATCATCCTATACACTCTCAACAACATACATGAAGAATTGAAATATTTAAAGAGGAAAACGATCATTCATTCATTCCAAAAATTATGAAAACTCTTCTCCCAACTAATTAGAAACCACTCATGTTGGAAAATTATGATGGCTCGACATATATAGAGAAACATTTAGCATTTAACAAAGCATAAATAAATTTATATACCAATAATTTGGTAGTTCTATGCCAAAATTTTCCTTCCATGATACAAGGACTGGCCTTACAATGGTATAATTTGCTACTATATAACTTGATTGATTCATACTACACGTTAGTATAGAGGTTTTAGATTAGGTTCGCAACCAACAATATGCACAAAGCCACATTTGTGGCTTGAGAAAGTGTGGGACAAGAATATGATAAATCCCTTTACAATTTCATTGAGCGATTCACTAAAGTAGCAAATTTCATATCGAATTTACACTAGTTCATTGTCTTAAACACAATACAAGTCCCTTTATAGTTAGGACCTCTGATGGATTGTTGTTTTACTTTTCCATCAAGATCCCTTGATGAGTTGTGCACTCGAGCAACTGATCATATTTGTATAGAGGACAATAATAAAAAATTTAAAAATTGAAAAGGCACCTATCCTTAGACCTACTCGACCCAATCCTCCAAAAAAACCTAGGACAGTTAAAGTATGAATGTTACACACCTTTAAATGCTAGTAGAAACACACATCTTACAAGAAGCTTTCAAACTTAAATTAGTATTGCACTACTACCTCTATCATTTTCATCACAAAATACTATCATTTTCATCAGAATTACGGATATACTATACACAAGTGCCGATGAGTCAAACATATAATCGTAAAATTTATCTTATCTAATTCAAAATTGTTAAACTTATATATATTATACCTTATTCAAATCAAATAAATATAAAAATTATTTTATTCAAGACTACATGAACATAAAAATTATACCTTATTCAATTATCTTATACCATTAACACCACTTTAATTATCTTGTTACGTCAATTATTATTATTTTTTGGTCCTTATATAAAGAGAATCAATAAAAAAAATCTTACTTAACACTTATTCTCAAATACATAAGAACGTAATAGTTATAATTATTAATCTCTTCAAGCTCACTCTGGTTAACTTCTATTTTTGGTAAGAATATTATATTTTTTAATATTTAAATTATATTAATAAAATAATTTAAAATGTAGATTTTAATTGGATATTTTTTCGTTGAGAGGGTGGCGCGTGTGGGGTCATTTACTGATACAATGTTGAGTTCGAGGCATGTTCTAAAGATGTTTACTTTTGTTGAAAAATGAATTTGGCATGTGGGTTAAGCTATAAGATAGTTTATTATTTTTATTAATAATTATTATTTTAAAGTAATATCGTAGGTGAATTGGGGGTGGGTCTCGTCCAAGTCTAACTGAGTGTCACGCATTGTCACCAAACACGCTTTCTCCTTTTATCTTTTTTTTTTTACCGCGTTACATTTTTCCTCGAACTCATTTTCAAGTATTATTTTGGTCTCTAAATACTTGGTGAGGTTGGTTGGTTCAACTTTTTGTGGCGGTTGCCTTCTTCTCCACCACACCACTGCCGTCAAAGCCAGCCTGTCACTTTTTCCATCTCACGTTAACTCAAAACAATTTATCACAAATCTAATTAACAATAATGCATAATTTTCTCCTCCCAACTCTCCACGACATTAATTAATTAATTAATATTAATTAATAGTTAATAGTTAATTATCCTCTTTAGAATGAGCACTTGAAAATGATTATCACCAATTTGTCACCTTTCGCGGTGGCTTCCTCTTTTTCTTTCTTTAATATCCTTTCCCAGTTCCGACTCTGTTAATCATTCGCCGTTAAGATTCTTTCCTCTTTCCACTTTCGTTCTTATCTTCTTCCCAAACCCACAACCACTCCTTATAAATCAGGTACTAACTCTCTCTTCCTCTTCTCCCATATCAACAACCCTTTATTTTTCAATCTTCGTTTTAAATTTTTAATTCAAACTATTATTTTCTTCTAACTTTCGTTTGTACAAACTAAAATCCCCTATTTTCGCCACTCCTTTCTTCGATTTCCAATCTGTCATTTCTCTATTTATACGTCATAATTCCAATAGCCAGATTCATCACTTTTTCAATTATTCCTCGAGTTTTCGCGGAATCATCGTTCCAACCGTTCAAATATCGTTCATCCTTGTAGATTTTTTTCTCCCAGGTCCAAACATGGCGGAAGAACATGGATGCCAAGCTCCCGAAGGTCACAGACTCTGCGCCAACAACTGCGGCTTCTTCGGTAGCCCCGCCACCATGAATCTCTGCTCCAAATGCTACAGAGACATCCGATTGAAGGAAGAAGAACAAGCCAAAACCAAATCCACCATCGAAACCGTTCTCTCCTCGTCCTCCTCCTCTTCCGCAGCCGCCGCAACCGTCTCCACCGCTGTGGTTTCCTTGCCTGCGCCGGTTGAATCCCTCCCTCAACCGGCGGCGGTGACCGCGCCGGACGCGTGCGCTCCGTCTCAGGCGAACCGGTGCGGCGCGTGCCGGAAGCGCGTGGGGTTGACGGGGTTTAAGTGCCGGTGTGGAACCACGTTCTGTGGGACCCACAGGTACCCCGAGAAACACGCGTGTGGCTTCGATTTCAAGGCGGCGGGGAGAGAGGAGATAGCTCGGTCGAATCCTGTGATCAAAGGGGAGAAGCTACGGAGGATTTAATCGGCGCCGTTGATTGGATGATGACTAAAGTGAGTTGAGCAGGACCGTCCGTGGTGGAGTGCTAATAATGAAGGGAATAGATCGCGCGTTTGTAAAAAAATCTATCTATCATTATGACGACATTGGAAGGGTTGAATAAGTCATGTTTTGGTGGCTTTGGTTTGTGTTCATTAAAAATGGAAAATTATGTCCACCACGTTCGGTTTATTTTGAATTGAAATGTAAAAAATTAGCACTTTAGTTTAATATTTTTCTGCCCTGTATTGTTTTCTCATTTACTGTTAGAGCTCTTCGGACTTTTCTTAGGAAAATAGGTCAAAATAGACTCATGATTCGAATATAATTTTAAAAACTCGTTCTGGGTGTTTCACTGAGTTGTGTTAAATAATTTACTACTTTTTCATTGCAAAAATACTCTATATAATAAATAGCTTTAGTTAGTCGTGAACTTGTTATCATTATAGAGTGGCAAAAAGGGAAAACCTCTGTGATAACTGTGCGTGGATGTCCAATGTTTCTTTCGCCTGTTTCCATTTGAAGTGATTGCAAAGGTAGAAGATTCTTCCCTTTTATGGGGATTAGAGTGGAGGTTTTGTCCTGAAGCTAAAATTTAAGAGAATGTGATGGATTAGGAGAGGAAGCCTTATCGGCAAAGGCCATTCTAATGTGACGTGACACTTAACCTTCATTATTCTTATAGATTACATTAATCGTTTTCTTTAATTCTAATTATTGAATATTATACACATGAACATATAGTAATTTTCCGCAAATACTATTTTCCAGCTTTATATTTATAAAAATTAGGGAGTTAATTACTTGAAAATATATACCATATTTTGTTCCCTTATTGATTGTGATATGTGGAATTTGAGTAGTTGTCATAGTTATTTTACACTAATTAATCATCTTTATGGTAATTTAATATGTAATATGCATTAGTGATACTTAGGACAACAATACAGCTACAGACCCAATGAAAAAAAAAATGACAAATCTATGGGCCAAGGGGGATGGATGCTTCCACTGTGCACCTAAGAATTATTACTGCAAATGATGCAATGAGAATGACCTGAAACAATGCAAGATTACAACTATGTTCATGACAAGTTATGCAAATGTTTAGTGTTTATATCTCCTTTTATTAATTTTTGCAGAGCCTTGTTTATTTGATGTCATAAAAAATGATAGAAAATGGAAGAATTTATTCACAAGAAACCTCATTTTAATTCCTTTTTAGAATTTTCTTCGGTTGCCAGACATGTTTGTCCTGGTCACATATGCCATCAATTTTTCTATTTTTACCAAATTTATTTTTCACAGTCATAACCATGGATACAAGCAAACGCATGTATAGAAAAAAAAAATGAAAATGAAAATGAAAATAAGAAAATCAACTGTTCCATTATTTTTATTTGAATTATCATGTAGAACAAATGGAACATGTTTTTATATTCACATTAAGTTGGTACTGAAGGGAACCTATAATTGTTCAGTAACAGTATAGAAAACAGATATCCCCAATTGTTATTCTTTGCAGTTGTTATCTGAGAGCACAGCTCTAATTCAATATTCCGACAGATGATATAACGGTGCCAAAACAATCACTATTGTTTGGATTCAAATAATTAATATTGGTTATAGAGGGGTTATCTGTGTTGTAAAATCCTGAGCCTCATGTGGCGTATATTTGAATCGTGCATCGAGTTTAAACACAATATTATGACTCCATTGAGATCTTCGCATCATATCAGAGAGACTTATTATAGTGACATGCAATTGGAAAAATTACCTCTCCAAAGTATAATTTTATAGCTCTTCTTTAGGAGCATCTTGCTGTTTCGAACATGCTTTGGAGCTGCTTAAACTCTCTATCCAAACATCATCAGCTACAACTGCATCAGCGTCGTTGTTTCGGTGCCATGACCAATGTGCATGTGTTTCATTTACTATTCTCAACCTTCCATGTCCAAAGCTTGGCTCTCGATACAACGAGAGCGGGCTCGTAGGGTTCTTAAACCTATTATCAACGATCAATATAAAATTATCAAGGAAAAATAATAAAAATTTAAAATTCTTGATTAACACTTAAATTAATTAAAGATAAATTAATATCTCACGTTAACGCAAGTCCCTCCCGATTTCCGCCATCTCCAATCGTCACGTACATCGGTCCACACGAGTCAAACTTATTGTCGTAAATTCGAGTCTGCAATGAATTTAATGAGTTAATAAAAAAAAATATTGGATATTGATTAAAAATATTGGAAGTGTGACGTACGAAGCGTTCATATGCATGAACATGACCCGCAAAAACTAGGTCAACAGGAGCATTATAAAGCAATTCTTCCATGGCTTGTCTCATGGATTCACCTTCACCTTGGTGTGCCTCATTAGTGTTATACCAAGGTGCATGCAACAACATGATCACCCAAGGTGTCTTGACCCTGTCAATGTTGGCGAGATCAGACCGAAGCCAGGTGTATTGTTGTGATTGGGCATCAAAGTCAGTGTAGGAACCAAGCATGATGACGTGGGTACCGACAACCTCAAAGGAGTAATAGAGGTTTGAGGTGGAAGCACTGTGTTGGAATGGCATGAGCCAACGAGCATTGTAGGCTTGGAAACCTTGTGGGTAAATAACGGGGAAAGTTTCAATCTCGTGGTTGCCTTCAGTGACCATCCATGGCCTTTTACTAGCATATGGTTCCACTAAACGACCAAAGGAGTCCCATAAGGGTTGTTGGGAGTCCGCGTAGGATAGATCTCCTGGCAACAACAACACGTCGTAGTCGCTACTTTCTACATGTTTCAAGGTTGATGCAGTCCATTCAGTTTGTCCCAAGTCCCCTACATACAATAACGTATAACGAATCACACATATTTATGGAAAAAATTGTATACACATATCTTTTGTGAAGATGTTAGAAATGGTAAATGTGTTGAAACTTGTTCCAGGAAAATCGCTGTGGATCATAGTTTTATATAATTTTTTATCTTTAACTCATTATAAGATTGTGACAGATGAAAACGCTCAACAGATAATAGTTCCGGGAATTTAAACAGAACAAAACTATTATATATTTATAGGTTTGGTCGACAAGCAAGATAATACATAAACTTTTTTTTATATAAATTAAAATTAATCTGTAGAAACTATTCTACGTAATTTTTAAATTTTTAACTTGTGTATAAATTAATTTAAACTTGTAAAAAATTAAATTAATTATTTTCTTTTTATTATTTTTGTAAAATGATTTATGAAGAAGTTCATCTAACTAAGGCCCAAATTTAATTTCTGTTTTTATATATTAGAAATTAAGTGATAGCCCAGTGGAAAAAGGAAAAGAAGAAACTGGGCTCTTATTCCACCACATGGATAGAATTTTAAAGGGAAGATGGTTGAAATCACCTTCACTTGACCCAACACCCGTTATTTAATATTTTTTATTTATAATAAATTGGTTTTACAATAATAAACAAAAATTGGAAATGGTTAAAAGGGTGTTTCTAACTTTTTGGAATGATTGTGAATCGGTAGCCTTAAAAAAATAGAAAAAGGAAAATAACTAGCCAAAATAAAAGGGCAAATAATAAAAAAGAAAGCTCCTTTTAAGGCACCCTAATCAATAAAACTGAGATATTAAATGGAAAATACATTTAAATATGCAACTGCCCTCGGATTTGTTTTTGTCTTCGCTTTATAATAAAAGTCTTTTGGGAATTAAACATTATTTTAATCTGATTCTATAATTTAAAATATATTAGAGTTAGTTAAGTCATTATAACTTATCTATAGTTATATATATACATATATATATATATATATATATATATATATATGTATATTTTCAATAGTTCTTTTGTATTATCGGAAACAAATAAAATAAAAATATTATCATTTAAATAAAAAATCATAAAAAATGATATATTTAATGAATAAAATTTAAATTAATATTTTAAGAAAAAATTAATTATGAAAATGTGAACAGGCTTAGCGCAGTATTTTGGATACGTTATGACTCGTATTAAAAGATACCTTATCCTCATTCCTGTCCCACGCCATCTTTGCGTTGCCTTCAAGAATGCATAAACTCACGCACATTAACTAACTAACTTATCTTAACTAATTTAACCAGTTACAACAGGACATACACACCAAAAAGGAACAAACATGGAAATTAGTATAAGCCAAAGCAGAACCCAGAGAGAAGCAAAGAAAATCGTGAAGTAAAAGAATTAATCCAAATTCCGAACAAGAACAACAACTTACCAACGATGACAAACTCAATTGGGAACTTGGGTGGAGGTGTCTTGAACGAAAACTCTGGGCCGGAGCCGCCGCACCTGTAGAAGTAAGCGGTGGCTGGTCTCAAAGGCCCGATAACAACGTTGTGAATGTTGCCGGAACTGTAGAAAAAATACTGGTACGAGGTATGGTCACCGGTTGCTTTTGCGTTATATTTCCCTGCCTCTGTGCCGTACTCGACCACAGATTCTGCGTGCTTGTCTTCCGTTATCCACGACACCCTCATCTTGTCCTTCCCCACCAATGAAATGTGCACCTACAAATTGCAAACAGAAAGATCAACATAAAACCAATCTGGCTGAGATTTTTCAGTGGTTGAGATTAGTGTGAACCTGTTGGGGATCGGAGTGGGAGCGTCGGTGGGGCGTGATGGTGAGTTGACCAGCTGGCTGACGAACGAAGTTGTTGTCTTGAGAAAGTAGGGCTTGTGGGAACAAAAGGAGGCAAAGAGTGTGTATGAGGATTGGGAACGCCATAAGAGACTTGGTTGGTCTTGCTGGTTGATGAAGTTTGTTGCTGGGGTTGAAGGAAACCCTTTTGAATTGAGAGGGCCAATTACATAATGGGGTTGACGAAGATATGGAATACATTTATAATAGATTTTTCTTGGGTATTGCAATGGCTTTGATTCATCAAGATATCTGACAATGAAAATTAGTTGAATTTGTGTTTCCAGATAATTATATATACATAACCTTCTTAATTTATTTTGTAAATGATAGAAGTAAAGTTTAAGGTCCAAATCACTTACTAAATGGTTGGTGGTCACACGTTATCATCACACAAAAGCAATATAACTTTTTCCTTCTTTTTAATGTGAAGAGCGAGTGTGAATATGTATGTGTCCTTGAATCTATTTTTAAACATGCATGTATTATGTGTGTTTATGTTTTAACTTTTCAACATTGAAGTAAAAGCTAAAAATGGTACTAATTCTTACTATAATGACAAAATAGATTGATTTTAATGAATGGGTCCAAAAATTCTGAAAAACAGATTAAGATAGATTGAAAAATATAATCTGAATTAAATTGAATTATTTTTTTGTTCAATATGTTTGGTTTATAGTGTAAACTTGATGGATCTATAACATTATAGACAATATAATTTTTTTAAATATATGTTATATCAAATATTATATAAAAAATAATTTTACTAATAATATAATATTAAATAAATATAAATATATATATATATATATATATATATATATATATATTTAACTTTTTTATTTTTTAGGCGCGACTGTTAATCCAATATCAAGTTAAACCAAATTTTAGAAATATGATCCATTCAAAATAATAATTCCAAACAACCAAACATAATTTTAAAAAAATTCTTATCAAGATGATGTAGAACATGTGACATATAAGTAAAACGTAAAAGAAACAAACAACTATTTCATAATTTGATTTTATTAATATAATAATAATATTCATAAATTTATAACAACAATAATAATAGTAATAATTATTATTATTATATTAATAAAATTAAATTCTCAAATGAGTGCTTATTGCAAATAGGATGTTAATAATTTTTTTCTTTTCTCAAAGTGTGCCAAATTTTCAATATGATGAACATGACTCAAGACAATGCATCAAGTGATTTTATACATATTTTTAATTATTTTATTAAATCATTAAATTCTCATTACTTATAATTTATAATACATGTCAGAACCTTTCTAATAATAATTATTTATAAATATTCATAAGAATTAATAGATTCCGTAGTTAAAATACGTTAGAGTGACTTGTAAACAAATGTAACGTGTTTTAAAAATGTAACGTGTTTTAAAATTAATTATGGTAGTGGGATTTATATGAAATCAATATATTTTATTATTAAGAATTTGTCTAAGCAATTCTTATTGAAAATATTCTAATCATAAAATACAATACATAGTTTTATATTTTTCATTTTAATTAACATACAATCAAGTTATTAGTTTAAATAAACTCATAAGAGATATGTATACTCGATTTGTAAACTCGATTCATAAACTCGTAAGAGTCTACTTCATATGAAAAATACTAATTTAACAAAAAATATGATAATATCAATTTTACATTACTTGAAATAAATAAGTTTATATAATAATATACTAATAAAATAACAAAAAATAAGTTTCAGATATTTTTTATTTTAATATTTATATTTAAAATAACAAAAAAAATCAATTGATTTTGTCCAAGCAAAATAATCAAATTAAAAAAATAATTAAATTTTTTTCTAAATTCCTGACATCCCTAAATCTATTTGAAGATCCTAAAATCTCAAATCTCTCAATCTAACTTGCGATAGGGATGGCTAGTGGCTAACCTGCGAGAGGGCTAGTAAGAAGGGTGACCAAAGAGAAGCAGCCAGGGTGAGACATGCAACCATCGAGAGAGACGCGTGATGCAACCACTGCATAATAAAAGGGAATAGATGGGCGACCAGAGGGAAGAGACCAAGGGAGCATTGTGATGCGACCACGATCACCGGCAATGACGAGCGACGGTGCAAGAAAGGAAGAGGAATGCGAGATATGAACCCGTGAAAAGAAATAAGGAATGCAAGAGAATATTTAAGTGTCTCTTCTCTTTCAAATTCGATAACTCAACTCTGACTCACGAGTTTACTCAGAGTCCACTGAATTTATCGTTGGTCATATGACTCGTTAACTTGTCTGAATTAGCAAGTTGACTCGCGAGTTTAATTAATAATTATGCATATAACACATAGTTTTATATTTTTCATTTTAAACTAACACAATAAAATTTATCTCTCCTACAAATGTTAGTTGCATGAAAGTTTAGATTATAAATACATGATTTATTATTATTATTATTGAAGTAATATACTTGCAAAAATATGGAAATAGAAATATAGAGAACTAATGTTGTAGCACCTCTACTAAACAAGCAAAAGTTTGGAGAACAAAACCATATTACCAATAAATGCTTTAGATTAGAAAAATAAATTACAAATTATTTAGTTTATTTTTTTAGAAGACTATATTATAAATAAAAGAAAATGTATTAATAGAACAAAAATATAATAATAAATTGTGGAGTAATGAAATAAAAAAATTATTGTCATAATTTCCTATTTGTAAGAAAAGAAAATTAACCCATTTCTTATAATGACCTTAAACGGTTTCTTCAACCAAGAAACAAACACAACTTTAATCATAGAGCAATATTACAGTATTGTCAATTATTAATTATTTAAAAATATTAACTGAATATACATAAGATAATAATTTTTTATTATATTTTTAACATTTATGAATTCCAGATAATATGTTAGACTTAATGATACATCTAGATGTGTCAGTTCTAACCGTGAACCAATCCGGCTTACTACGGGTTCAAGTCAAGTTGGATTCGATTTTTTTTTATTTTTGCTAATAATGGGTTAAAAATGAATATGGCTCATTTAATCCACGAGTTAAGCGGGTTCGAGCGGGATTATGATGGGTTGACCTACAACCCATCATTTATTTTAAATTTTAAAAATAATTAATAATAATTTAATAATTTTAATTGATTTTTTTCTCCACTTCTATTTCATGTCCTCACTATAAGTCAAATGCTCACTCAATGTTATCATCAATTACGTTATAATGTTTGTGGTATTTCAGTTACGCATCTCAATCACATCATAACTTTTGTCATACTAACGTCACAGCGTTTCAGTCTCGCATTTCAACCGCGCCACAACTTTTGTCACGTCACCGTATTCGTCACGTCATCACGTTACTATGTTTCAGTTGTATCATATCGTTTATCACATTTTAGTTATATATATAATTTATTGTGTCACCGCGTCACTACCTTCAGTCCTGTTATTCAGTCATACTTATTAAAAAAAAATAAAAAATATAGGTTAATAAGTTAACCCACGGTTGAATCGAATTATAAAATTTTTTGTTCCCCATAAAATAAGTTGGATTGAGTTCGTATATTTTCAATCACACATGATGAGGTAATGCCGGTTGAGTCACTTTCACACAACTATATATATCCGACGAGATCTCACTTTCGGAATTTCAAAGTTATTGCTGACAAGTTATTTTCAGAATATCTTTAGAATATGCTTTTATTAAAAAAACTGCTATTGATCTGTAAAGAGCCGTGCCGATTTGATAAAAACGACAATATTTTTATGGGAAAAAGTAAACAATTACGAAGTCACATGCAAATACTTATTTATAAAATAAAAATAAAAGATTATCTTTTGTAATATTTAAGTAGAGATATATAATACAATTATCAATAAATTTACCTTTATAATATGTAGAAGAATTATATATTGCTATTAAATTATACAATAACTTAATAAATAATCACTACAAGAAAAACGCTATTAGCGACCGAAAAAATCGGTCGCTATTCTGTTAGCGACCGAAATGGTTGGTCGCAAAAGGGCAAGTCGCTAATTTGTTAGCGACCGATTTATATTTTGGTCGCTAAATAACGACCGATAAGGTGGTCACTAAAGTGGTCGCTAAATAATTTGGTCACTTATTCATTGAAGATCAAAATAGCGACCGAAATTAATATAATAAATCGATCGCTAAATCGGTCACTAAATCGGTGGTAAAGTTTTAAAAAATAGCGACAGATATATTCGGTCGCTAATATATTAATATAATTATGTAAATAATAATTAAAATCGGTCGCTAAATCAATCGCAAAAATAGCGACAGAAATTAATATAGTAAATCGATCGCTAAATTGGAGACAAAGTTAAAAATAATAGCGACAGATATAATCGGTCACTAATACATTAATTGAATTATTTAAATAATAATTTAAATCGATCGCTAAATCGGTCGCTAAAATTGAATTGTATATTATAATAAATTTGTAGCGACCAAAAATTCGATCGCTAATCTAACCAAATCTGAAAATTTTCATTTAAAATTTTGTATATCCAATTTTACAAAATTTGTACCTGCTTAATTCATCCAAACAGAACACAAATGAAAACTTAAGAACTAAAGTCAAATTATTCAAATCATAATAAGAACAATTCAAAGTCATAACAGTAAATAAAATGTTTCTAAACAACTACTCAAGATTCAAAATCTTAATATCATAAAATTGAAAATTAGTCCTCTGGTATATATGTTGTAAAATAAGTTTCATCTGCTCATCTTGTTGGCGTTGGTTGTTCCTCAACTCTTGCATCTCTTCTTGAAGTGTCTTCTCCTTATCATGCTTTGCCACCAATTCAGCATTTAACTTTTCAATAGTCTCACACATTTGTTCAATTTGATGAAGTATTGGAGTTTGAGTAATAGAAGATTGAGAACCTGATGTAGTAGTGAACTTTTTGCTCAATGTACCAAGTCCATACACATTTCCTTTTTTATTTTCACCTCCAACAACTGAAATGTATATTTCATTATCATCAATAGAGACAATAGGAGACTCTTGTGAAGATGAGCCTTCACGCAAGTTATGTTGATGGACTTCTTCTC